CTCCAGTATCTGGTATCTATCTCAGTTCTGGTACATTTGTTGGTGCATTCAATTCTCAAATAGCTTTTACTTTCTCAGGGCAAGTATGGATTCAACCTTAGTTTATTGTCTGTCCCAAAAAACTTGATTTGGGGTAGGCAGAAGACACATTTTTCCTTGTTTAGCTTCAGTCCGCACTAACTGACTAGGCTTAAAGCTTCAATGAGGGTTTTGTTGTGTTCTTCCATCAAAGACCCATATATCAAAATATTCTCCATGAAAACTACAACTTCATTTGTGTTCATTAATAGTTCTGCCATCATTCTTTGGAAAAAAAATCAGGTGCACTAGTAATCCCAAGAGGTAACTTCAAAAGCAAAATCTTCTGAAGGGTCTGATAAATGTAGTCAGTTTAGCACTCTCTTTAGCTAAATAAATTTGCCAGATTCTGCCTGAGGCATCCAGCTTGAAGAATATTGTAGCTCCTTCCACTTTGGGGAGGAAGTCATCCTGTGTTGGGAGGATATATTTTTCTTTCAACTGCTTCATTAAGTTTTAAGATCCACACAGATTCATATTTTCCATATTTCTTTATAACGTTGCAACCATTGGGGCACACCCTGCTGTTAGCTCAGAGATTTTTTTTTTGATTATGCCAATCTGTTCCATTCTCTTTAACTCAGTTTCCACTTTGCGAGAGGAATCCTCTGAGGTGTAGGTATACTATATGAGCGGTTTCCAAAGCTTTTCCCCACAAGGGACCCCTTTGGCAATTTACTGAGTGTCCCAGACTCCTTTCATTTCTGGTACTACTGGAATTTCCCCACCAGCGTGGGACTGCCCCAGCCAGCGTGACTTCACAAGCACAGTGTATGCAAGGTCACGACCTCTGCACAGCACAACCTTGCAAGCATGGTGCACAAGAAGTGCATGAGAGGTCACATAGTTCACAGGATGCCATTTTAGGAACATGATGGCATCCTCAGACCCCACTTTGGGAACCGCTGCACTTTATAGTTCAGCATTGTCTCAAAGTTATTTGTACTGGATCTCCTTTCAAAAGTCCAACATCACCACCTCTCACTAGGCTACTACATTGCAGTGGAGAAGGTTGTTGATCTTTGATCCTTTGATCACAAACTCTGAATGCAAAGCTTTTGTCTTTGTAAGTTGTTTCTATGGTGAACTGGCCCAGGCAGTTCAGAATACCTCCAGGGCTGGTCAAGGCTGTGTCAGGTAATTTCAGCTCTGGGAGGGGATGAAGGTGATTGTAAGACCCTTCTGATATGCTGGGCCATCCCTAGGGCAGTGCAGGGCCCAGGACAAATCCCCTCTTTGGCCGAGGCCCCACCTGCACTTCACCTCTTCCCCCAAGCCTCCCCCTCGTCTCTTTCTGCCCCTGCTCCGCCCCCTCCCCGCCCCCATTCCACTCCTTTCCTGAATCCCCCGCCACGGCCCCACCTCTTTCCGGCTTCCACCCCCTCCCCTGAGCAACTCTGGGAGCCGGCGGGGTGGAGCAGAGCGGAGCGAAGCGGGGCAGGCTGGGGCCATGTTGCTCGTTGCTGTCGGTGCCAGGCCTCCCGATAACCTCCCAGGACACCCTGGACCCCACATCCTGAAGCAGTTGCCCCGGTCTGTCCTATGGATGGGACGGCTCTGCTGATATGACTCTCATGTCTGCACCTGAGTCAACTTTAAATTCAATAGCCTTTCCATGAATAGTCAGTTTCACTCTCCAGGCGGGCTTTGTCTCATCACATGTGACAGATCCCAGAAACAATGGCTCTTGACTGTCTGTAACATGAGTCTGCTCCCTGGCTCCCCTAGTACTGCAAACAGATGCAAAATGTCCATCTTTAGTATATTCATTAAATCTTATTCCTTTGGCTGGACATACACTTTTGGGGCTGTGAATTTTTCCACTCTTGTGCCTTTCATCTTTTTTGTTATTCTGGCAGTTATCACTCCTTGCCTGAGGGGGTTTATGATAATGACATTTAGGACACATGCTGGGTCTGTTTACAGCCTCTAAGCTAGTTTCTGGTTTGGCAAATTCCTGCTGCTGTTTCACAAGTTCACAGAATGCTTTTCTATCTGAATAGCTGTGGGTAGGGTTACATTTGTTTTTAGTTATAGCTGCTGTGAAAGACAGTTGTCTGTCAGACTAATAACCGATATATCTGCCATATTTCCATGTTTTACAGGCCCCCCCAAAATACTGGTTTTTTCAGCCAATACAAGTAAAGCTCTGATAAAAAAAAAATTCAGCAGAGCACCCTGGTTATTGAATTATCTGGTGAAAACATGCCCTTTCATAAACCACATTTCTCTGAAGTATAAAGTATGCATCAAACATAGCCAGAACCCTTTTTATGGTCCCCTTTGTGGCTGTCTTCAGGAAAGCTAAAAGACATAGATATGTTCTGCCTACTTCCCAATAGCATACATTAAAAAGCATACCTGAATATCTCCAGTTTCCTTGCGGAGTTTGGCTGCAATGTGAAATCTTGTAAAATGCTGCTTTCTAGTTGGTCCATTCTGAAGGTCTGTCAAAGCTGACATTCTCTGGGGCATTGTAGAGTGGCATGTTGATGAGAACAAACCTGCAACCTTAATTTTTTCTTCTTCTGCTTGCAAGGCTGTGTTGCTACTTTCCATCTACTTCTTTTCTCCTCTCGCATTAGTTAGGCTGCCTTCACTTCTGACACCATGTATTGTGTTGGCCAGATATGTATTGGTTACAGAGCTTCCACCACAAAGACATATATGAGGATATGTTCTCTCTAAGGTACTTTGGGTGTGTCTACACCACAGTTAAACACCCACCGCTGGCCCGGGCTATGGGGCTGTAAAATTGCAGTGTAGACATTTGGCTCAGGCTGGAGCCCAGGCTCTGAGACCCTGTGAGTGGGAAGGGTCCCAGAGTGTGGCCTTCATTTCAAGCCTGAATGTCTACAGCTCAGTTAAACAGCCCTGAAGCCTGAGCCTGCGAGCCTAAGGCAGCTGACACAGGCCAGTCGTGAGTGTTTAATTGCAGTGTAGACATACCCTTAAATGCATTGCTGGCTGTAGCTATTAGCAGTTCGGGAAAGGTATGTTACACATGACACCACCTAGAGGGTAAACATTATAATAGTTTAATATTCCATTACAGTGGAGAAGGAGGGAGTGCCGGTAAATAACATTAACAGGTGAGGTGGGCAATTTTTTTTGACAATGCTTGGGAAAAAGATTCTCCATTTTTCAAAGAAGCTCAAATTAACACTTTCATTTCATCATGTCAAACCCAAAAATTCAGAGAAAAATAAAACATATATTAGAAGGAGGGGTCATTTGCAATGCCACTTGGGAAGGTACTGAATTGATATTTAACTGGTTAGTGCATGGTTAGTGCTTCTTTGTAGAGCACGGAAAAGGACCCTAGTTCATTTTGCAGGGGGATACCCATCCAAAGGTCAGAACAAGTGATTTTGTTTGCATGTTTTCAGTGGTTAAAGTCCCAGCCCTGTACCCTTGGGAATCAGTGCATGGGTGTTACATCACTAATTCCAATCACCAGCTGGCCAGTCAGAAAATGGCTTTGCATTTGTAATATTTCACCCAGTGCCCAACACATTCATCACAAGTGGCCTCAGCTGGAAAACTACTGATTGCTCACCGTCTGAAATACAGCAATTTCCTCAGGAACAACTGAAAAACCTGCTGCCACAAAATATTCCTTCATTTGTCACTTTGAGTTCTCTGTAGGTTCTTGGTAAACAGACAGACCTATTCTCTTGAGCCAGGCAGAGAAACTGGGTTAAACATTTTTGCCTGACACACTTGTTAATATCAGTTGTATTCTCTGTGGTGTTCTGGAGAAGAAAGCACAGAGCAGGTGTCACTTTTACAACCACTAATCGAGCATGGCTGTGACTCATAGCACTTTTCTAACTCTGCTGTTTACCTCTGTTGCCCCCTTTTTGACCCAACCAGCTAGTCAAAGTTCAGGGCCCTGAAGATGTTTCAGCTGGAAGTAGAAATTGATGATGGAGTCTTGTATTTTCTTTGACGCAATCTTGTTTATTTACAAGGAATGTAAGAAGTCCTGTGTCTCTGGATGCAGAAGGAGCCAAGAACAGAAGCAGCAGTTTCTTAGCTTACAGCCCCCAAGCCTCTTTAGCCAACACCAGACCCAAAAACTCTCTCTCTCTAGCTTATTCCAGGGTCTGTTGTTAATTTAGATGGAACATATGGACGAAAAGTGTTCAGATCCTGGCACTGTCCAGCATTAAAGAGTGTTAAACAAGGTTTGATATACAGAGGCTGTTAGTACCATGTTAAACACATCATTAAAAAACCTTTAAACCTTTTATTAAAAAACAGAAAAGAAGGGAAAAAACAGTTAAAGCATTTGAAATGTAAAGTATTAAGTAGGGTTTTCATTTTCACACCTTTTCCTTTAGCTTGAGACAGTTATTAGAAAGAAACCCTCTAGTTTGAAACAGTCTTTTAGATGGTATCAAAGATGCTAATAACTCTCCTTTTGGGGCGGGGGGGGGGGGAGAGATTAGGTGAGATGAGCTAGAGCTGTTGTTATTAAAGTCTGATCTCATTTCCAAAGAAGACAAAACAAGACAAACACACGCAAAAGGGCAAAAGATAGAAAATGGACCTTCTGTCTCTGGGATTGACTCACACGTGCACCCTCATTGCTGGAAAAACACAGTCATGGCACATGGTCTTATCAGGCACGCTGACACCTGGCAAACTCTTACCTATGGGTGGCGCATACAAGAGGCAGAGAGGAGCAAGCGGCGGGTGGAGGGGCCTCTGAGGAAGAGATGGAATGGGGGAGGGAAGAGACAGAGCAAGGGCGGGGCCATGGGGGAAGAGGAAGAGCAGGTGCGGGAAGAAGCAGAGCGAGGGTGGGGTGGAGCAGGGGGGCGGAACCACGGTCTGGGCACTGGTGGCCCCCCCCACTTCTAGGGAATTTCCGGTGCTCACGTAAGCCTCCCAAAATGAAAAAGTCACTCACCGCCTATGCTTTTAACAGCATCAAACTGTTTAGGGCATTATTTTATTTGTCTCTGTGGTCACAGGCTTACAGCAATGTTCAAAAATATGCATCTTGGCAAACTCTTATTAGACATAACAAAAAGGGGAGAGAGAGAAGAAAGAAGAAATACGGTAGGGAAGGAAAAGGACACACTGGGGACTGAAAGAGACAAAGTCTCACATGGCAGGTAGTGTTCAGGATTTAGCCAAAGCCAGTGGACATGGCAACGTCATCTGGTACCTGTGGGTCCTGATCTGGTCAGTACATCTTTCAGGATTAGCATGAAGAAGTCTGGGAGCTGGTGGAGTGCCAAGATGGTGAAGCCGTCTATTTGTCTCTCCAAGTCTTTCTTTAAGGACACAAAAGAGGAATGATGAGTGGAATAGCCCATCCCCAGCCCATCCCCTCATTATTTGTCCACAAATTAGGCCTAGTTTCTGATACACCAATTTTAGTTCACTGATTTCTGGTTCCACACTTTTCTTGTTTACCAGGCATGATCTTAACACAGTCCTTGAGTTATATCAATAGCCCTTTTTGTTTGGACTAATTCAGTCTGTTTCCATTGTACCCTCAACATTCATTGTTATAAGGTACTGTGACACTTCATGAACATACACTCACTTCTTACGGTTGAGCTCACAAATGGAGTAAGTTTGTAGGCCTAGTTATGGCAACAGGTCACACTGTACTTATAGGCTTCTGCTTGGCTTTCTTGCCTCTTCCTCTCTCTGTTCTTGTCTCTTAGACTACCTTCCCAAGTGGCACAGCCTACGTCAGAAAAACTTATGTTGCTCAGAAGGGTGAATATCCACCTTCCCCCCACCCGGCCCAGCAAGCGATATAAATTACACTGACATAAACACTCATGTATACAGTGCTATGTTGGCAGGAGAGCTTTTCCCGCCGACAAAGCGTCTGCTGCTCGCAGATGTGGTTTTTTCATGCCAGTGGAAGAGCTCTCTCCCATCAGCATAGAGCATCTTTACCAGATGCATTTCAGCGGCACAGCTGTATTGGTGTATCTGTGCTGCAGCAGCGCTGTATGTATAGACATGGCCCAAGTTTCTGTGTGATCTCTGTTTCGCCACTCCACATACATCCCTCCATTCAAAACAATTCTAAGTCAGAAGTTCCTGGGCAGGTTCATGCACACCTGTTGTCTTAAGTGCAGGAAAGGGAGGCCTCCTTACAGTTATGTTAACTAATGGGTGAGTTCACACCTATCAACCTCAATGGGGTGTTAACTCAACCCATAACAAGAAGCAGCTCATATTGTTTATTTTATCTAAACTATGTAGGCTTCTCCAAAGGTTCATCAATCATTGCACCTCTCCCCAACAGTGTCTTTTGTATGGAATCATGAAACTATATTTGTCTCTTATTATCCTTAGCCAGAAAAAAAAGCTAATAGCCCTCTAAATGCATAATTACCATCAATTAATGTAGTGCAGTTCATGCACGGCTTTGCATCTGGTTATGAATCAAAGGACTAACAAGGAAATATTTTGTAATGTCTAAATTTATTTTAAATTTGACATGGGATTTCTACACTGAGAAAATTGACATTTCAAAACTTTTACTAGACTATGTACCTCAAAAAACCAACAAGGTGGGGTGGGGGGCTAATAGCACGGGTTAGAGCCAAGCACATGTAGGCAAGAACTATGCAAACTTCCTTACATGAGGCCTGATAAGTTGAGGTGCTGTCAATTGGAGTTGAGGGCCCGCAGCACCTTGCAGGACTGGCCTCATAGCGTGGCTTCTGACCTTACATCCCCCAAAACTCTCCAAGGACTGAACTTGTGAGAGGCTGTTTGCGTTCCAAGAGATGTTGAGCGCCCTCAGCTCCTGTTGGGCAGGTGAGGGCACTCAGCACATCTTGGAAGGTGCTCACTCATTATGAAGACTGGTCCTCACATTTAGCTGGGATGGAATCTAGTTTTCATTTGGCCCCATCTCTAATAGCAATCAAGGTTTCTCTTCCAATTATCAACCCATTTGTTATAGCATGATGGAAACTGGTTTACAATCTCTCCCCTTAGGTTTACACACTGCAAGTAGCACCAGCATCATCCTTTTCTAGCAAGGTAGGTGCCTCCAGCAATAGGGTGAGTACTGCCAACTGCAATTAAACACTTTGAAAACAATGTGCAGTATTTCAGTGTATGAATAGTGACAAGCACATCTTGCCTTGCAGACTTCTAGGCTGTTGGACTGGGTGCATTTGCCATCAAGGCTGCATCCTTTACCCACTCAGATCAACCAGAATTTTACCAGTACTTTAACGGGAGGCAGCTAGGATGTGCGTCCATCTGTGCATACATAACTCCCACTACTTATGCACGCACATTGAGGAAAGAATAGATCCTCTAAGGCTCACACTGCAAGAATAGCACTACAACAAAGTAACTGCACTGCTCAAATGCATCCACTAGGACATGTTGTATCAGTGTTCTGAATACTGCAGTTAAAAGGACTATCCTTTTGAAAATAATGCATGGATTCAAAGAAGCTGTTTTGTTGAAAGGGGCTTGTTCTCCCTCTGGCCAAGCATCAGCAAAGCAAGTGGTTGATTGCCCCACATAGATTTCTAATTCATGGGCCACTCTAATCTTCTTAGAAAGGGAAACAGAGGTAGTGTATGGCCTCATCCCCTTCAGTAGCATGAGATCCAAACTGTAAGACCCACCTTGCCCTCCGTGCACATATATGGAACCCTCCTCCCCATTGGCATCAGTGTGGGGGTATGTGGACATACAGAAGGAGACTAGTTGTATGTTCCTCTTCAAGCTATATCTTACTTTGGAAAGGATTGCATTCAAAGGGCCTGCTTCTGACCCCCTTAAGGCTGTACTGCACCACCCTGGATTCATCTGGTGTGGGAAATCCCCAGGTGGCATAGCTCACTCTACTTTGGGGAAGGGCCTGGGAAAGGGGTGTATGGCCAGGGCATGGCAATCTCCAGCTAACCCCTGCCTGTGGGAGCAGCCAACGGGAGCTACCAGTTGCTCGCTGTAAGATAGAGCAGCCCTGACGCTAATGTATTCTAAGCAAGTCGACTGCAGGGTGTCGCTGTGAGGGTTGTGGTACACTGACTCTTTTTGATATCTGGCAGCGTGCAGGGAGTACCACGTGCTCACAGCTGAGGGCTGCGGGCGCTCTTGCCTGTGGTGGGTGATCGTAAACACTCACGCATTTTCAGTAACAGAGCATTCCGATGCCAGAAGTGAAACAATGCAAACACCTTAGTGAAATATCTACCCCAGTGAATGAGGAGCAAAGCTCACTGACTTCAATGGAGCCAGGATTTCACCCAGTGACTTTACCAGTTACAACAAAAGATCAAACCCAACAGTTCCTAACCCAGCCCCCCAGGGAGGTCCACTACAGAGGTATAAAGCTAACAGAGTCTTGTAACCCCTCCATACCATCCTCTGCCCTGCAGGCCACTTTTCTGTATCCTCCTACTGCAGCTACTGCTAGCCCCCTACGCAGGTGTGATTGGCCCAGCTCTCCTGCTTCCAAGGGCCTAGATTGCCCCTGGCCCAGCTTCCCCTCTGCAGCTGGCTCCCAAGCTGCTGTCCAGCCTGCTGAACCCAGACACATGCAGCCTCTGACTCTCTGCTCTGCCTTGTTGCCCGTGAGCTAAATTGTACTTCCCTTTCCTGTACTCTGGCGATAATGGAGCTCTTGACTGGCTGGATCTTGAACTGGGAGGCAACACAGCGCCCAATAATAAGCCAACAAGATCATTACAGTGTCTTGCACTGGGGACCAGCCCAGCATCCAGTAGACTCAGCCCTGAGACAATACAGGGGTGGCTTACAGCCAGGTGCAGCATGTTGAGTCTCCAGCTTCTGCCCCCTACAGTATGTATCAACAAATAACAAACTCTCAATTGACAAACAGAGAATACACATACTATGTTATAAGCAGCAACAGTGGTTCCTGAAAAGGTGAGTCGTGTCCAGGTCTCCCCTTTTAGGGCTGTTTTGAAAAAGGTCTCCATATTTCTGTACTTGGGAGGAAAGATTTTACCCTCCAGTAGATTCACTTGTTTCCATTGAAATGTCTCACTTCACTGCTAGAACCTGCAGTGATACACAGAGAAACACAATTTAGAATCAAAGGAGAATCTCAATTTTGTTTACTTTTTTTTTTTTTTGGCCAAAGGACACATATTTCAGTGAATTTAGTGCTCATGAAAAGTGTCACACTGATAGCACAGGACACCATGGAGACCTCTCTCCGTGACAGGTATAGTACCAGCAACGGCTCAGCATACTTCTCCACACCATCCACCCAACACATCTAGGCACTGACGTGGAGGCTCCATACCTTGGGTTAAGAGTGTAGGGACCAGATTTTTAAAGATGTTTAGGCACTTAAAGATGTAGATCACCCCCCCCCCCCCATTTGAACTCCCATTTGAAATTAATGGGGTTTAGGCATCTGGGCACTTTTGATAATCCCAGTAGGTGCCTCTCCGCATCTTTCAGCGCCTCAATATGTTTAAATATCTAGGCTTAGGTCCCTATGTCCATTCAATTGCGTCTTCTTGTAGAGGCCATCAGCAGACTTATGTAATTATTACAGGCACTAGTGCCAAGGTACCCCACACTTCTAAGGTATCGCACCAGATGTATCACAGCTCAGAGGCAAGTTCTAGAGGCACTTCAGATACTAGCTCCTGTAGGCACTAGCCCTGGTGGGTCCCAATTATGATACAGACATATGGTAAATGAAGGGCATTTTACTAGGGCTGGCAGAAAGGGGAAGGTTACAAATAACCTAGGTACAGTAAGTTAAGCATTGCAATTGAATGTTAAACAATAACAGTTCCTATCGGGGCTTTTGGGGTGGGCAGACCAATACTGAGTAAAGGCTCCTCAAGGCTTGTGCCTATCCAGTCCAGCCTCTGCTACAGACTAATAACAACTTCCAGGTTTCTAGGCCAGGATCAGTTAGTGGTGTGTCTCATTGGGACCCCTATGCATTGGCTCCCAGTCTCTGCAGCTTCCCCACCAGTCCCAAAGGGACCTGCACCCAGTCACAACACTGACAGTCACCTCCTGTTCCACATGCAGTTCCCTGTCTCATGCTGCAGCCTGCTCTGCACACAGCTCTCTGGCGGTTCCCATGCTGTATTCAGCTGCCCAGCTGCTCCGGCCTTTCTACACTGTTGGGACTTCCCCAAGTGCTAGGTTACTTCCTAGGTCAGAGTCTTTCCCTAGAGTTTCTTCCCCTTCCCTGATGAGTCATAGATCAGTGGGGTAGAGGTTGATGGGAATAGCAGTTTCCTGCTTAACCGATTCATCACAGTTTCAAATTGGTGCCAGCTGTGATGGTGCCTTTTGTGTGGAGGACATATGTCCACTAGAGGCTGAACTAAGATCACTATCTCATTTCACACAGGCCAAAGAGCCAACACGTGGAAGCCACTTTTGGTCACGAATAACCTGGGCTGGATGGCACTCAAGGACCTAGAGATACAGGCTGTTTATCATTTTATCAATCACCCTGGTCTATACCATTCCTAGAAAAAAAAAAACATCTGAACACAAGAAATCCCGCTGCAGCTTAGAAATCAGTATGTTCGTTTTGCCTGGGCATTTCTTGGGGAAAAGTACCAGTAACAAAATGGCCTGGCAAATATACAAAATGTATATGAGGCTATTATTATTTCCCTCTATACCCTTATTAGTTACTGGCATGTGCAACCCTGTATTCATCTTAGAACAGCACGTAAAGTGCCTACTAACACTCTGCTGGGGCAAGTATGAGCCTCCTCCTACACTCTGTATTCCCTATATAACCCCTAAAAGAAACATTCACATTTGACTCTGATTCATGGTCCTTATAGAAGTGCAATATAGCTTATTGTGAGCTTAGAAATAGAATGAACAGCCTATGGTATATTTTTCTACAGTGTATTTTTCCACAGTACTTTTGCTGTGTGTATATTGTCTTATTTGATTTCCATCCAAAATATGATTGGTGTAACACTCTATTGCAATCAGATTGTCCTCCTACCTATGTATTTCTGTATAAATTTGTGAATGAGCCAGCATGCACAGATAAAACCTCCAGCTTTAGCATCATTAGCTAAGGACAGCTTTGTTAAATGACCTGTATATCACAAAGCTCAAGGCAAGCTGAAGCAGAAAAACCCCTGTGAATACAGGGTCTCTGTCACAAACTTGTGCTGTTACCATGTACCCCATTTATTAAATATGATGGTTGAGTAAATTAGATCAAGAAAGTTACCACTACAATGGTATTCACCCTTCCATTATTAAAGACTGATTCTCATATCACTTGAGGTATTTATACTATGCCTTTTTTCCCTCCCCAAGTGGCTAGTTCTAGAATGAACGTCTGATAAAATTCAGCACAATCAGGTATGTAAGAAAAACACTGTCATGCTGAAGAGATTGTGATATGTTGCAAGAGCCATATTGAATGAAGGAGATAATATTGGTATAGGTTACGCAAAGCTCTGTTTTTATTCTTAGAGGTTAACACCTCTGGTTACTGAATAGAAAAGATAAGTTAATATACATGCTCTTTGATCATTTTGGAAGGAAATTAAATACTTTGTGGAGAAATACTGAAATGAAAGCTATTTGTCCTGTGCTTACTAATATATATGCTGGGTCCCCAAATATTCTGCACTTGGTTTCTTTCTTTGGGAATACGTGTTCTAATGGATTAAATTTAGGAGTGTAAACGAGGAGTTCTGAGTTCTCAACTCCACTGCTCAATTCTTAAATGAATCACACAGTACCATAGAATCTCAAGGGATAGAAATTCCATTCTTGAATGATAAGAGTATATCATAGAAATATACTACCGACCACCTAACCAGGTTGGTGACAGTGATTGTGAAATTCTCAGGGAAATTAGAGAGGCTACAAATACAGAAAACCCAATAATAATGGGGAATTTCAACTATCCCCATATTGACTGGGAACATGTTGCCCCATGATGGGATGCAGAGATAAAATTTCTAGGCAACATCAATGACTGCTTCTTGGAGCAGCTAGACCTGGAACCCCCAAGGGGAGAGGCAATTCTTCATTTAGTCCTAAGTGGCGCACAAGATCTAATCCAAGAGGTTAATATAGTTGAACCACTCGGTAATAGCAACCATAATGTAATTAAATTTAACATCCTTCTGGGGGGGGAGGGGAGGGGGGGATTTCCAAAGAAACCCACCACAGTAGCATTTAACTTTAAAAAGGAGAATTACACAAAAATGAGGAGGCTAGTTAAACAGATATTAAAAAGAACAGTCACAAGAGTGAAATGCCTGCAAGCTGCATGGAAACTTTTAAAAAAGCCCATAACAGAAATTCAAACTATATGTAAACCCTAAATAAAAAACCAAAACAGCAAGAGGACCAAAGCACTGCCACCATGGCTAAAGAGAATAAAAGAGGTGGTTAGAGTCAAAAAGGCATCCTTTAAAAATCCTACTGAGGAAAACAGAAAGGAGAATAAACTCTGGCAAGTCAAGTGTAAAAGTATAATTAGGCCGGCCAAAAAAGAATTTGAAGAGCAATTAGCAAAAGACACAAACAAAAAAACAACTAACAACAAAAAATATTTTGTTAAAGTACATCTGAAGCAGGAAGCCATCCAAACAATCAGTGGGGCCACTGGACAATCGAGGTGCTAAAGGGGCACTCAAAGAAGTCAGGCCGTTGCAGAGAAGCTAAATTAATTCTTTGCATTGATCTTCACTGCAGAGGATGATGTAAATTCTTTTTAAATCTGAGGAACTGTCCTAGATTGAGATGTCAAGAGAGATGGTTTTGGAACAAATTGATAAGTTAAACAGTAATACGTCACCAGGACCAGATGGTATTCACCCAAAAGTTCTGAAGGAACTCAAATATGAAATTGCAGAACTATTAATGGTGGTATGTAACTTATCACTTAAATCAGTCTCTTTACCAGATGACTGGCAGATAGCTAATTTTATGCAAATTTTTAAAAAAGGGCTCTAGATGCGAGCCTGGCAATCACAGGCCAGAAAGCATAACTTTAGTCCCAGGTAAACTGGTTTAACCCATAGTAAAGAACAGAATTATCAGACACACAGATGGCATAATATGTTGGGGAATAGTCTATATGGCTTTTGTAAAGGTAAATAATGCCTCACCAATCTATTTCAGGAGGTCAACAAACATGTGGGCAAGGGTGATTCTGTATATTTAGACTTTCAGAAAGTCTTTGACAACATCCCTCAACAAAGGCTCTTAGGCAAAGTAAGCAGTCATGGGATAAAAAGGGGAAGGTCCTCTCATGGGTCAGTCACTGGTTAAAAGATAGGAAACAAAGGGTGGGAATAAATGGACAGTTTATATACTGGAGAGAGGTAAATAGCAGAGTCCCTCAAGGATCTGTACTGGGACCAGTGCTGTTCAACATATTCATAAATGATCTGGAAAAAGGGATAAACAGTCAGATAGAAAAGTTTGCAGATGAAACAAAATGAATCAAGATAGTTAAGTCCAAAGCTGACTGCGAAGAGCTACAAAGGGATCTCACAAAACTGGGTGACTGGGCAAGAAAATAGCAGATGAACTTCAATGTTGATAAATGCGATGAAATGCACATTGGAAAACATAATCCCAACTACACATATCAAATGATGGGGTCTAAATTAGCTGTTACCACTCAAGAAAGAGATCTTGGAGTCATTGTGGATAGTTCTCTGAAAATATCTGGTCAATGTGCAGCAGTAGTCAGCAAAGCAAACAGAATGTTAGGAGCCATTGGGAAAGCAACAGATAAGAAGACAGAAAAGATCATAATGCCACTATGTAAATTAATGACAGGTTTCAGAGTAACAGCCATGTTAGTCTGTATTTGCAAAAAGAAAAGGAGTACTTGTGGCACCTTAGAGACTAACCAATTTATTTGAACATAAGCTTTCGTGAGCTACAGCTCAAAGCTCATGCTCAAATAAATTGGTTAGTCTCTAAGGTGCCACAAGTACTCCTTTTCTTTTTATGTAAATTAATGGTCTGCACACACCTTGAATACTGCTCTGGTCGCCCCATCTCAAAAAAGATATATTAGAATTGGGAAAGGTACAAAGAAGGGCAACAATAATGATTAGGAATATGGAACAGCTTCTGTATGAGGAGAGATTAAATACACTGAGACTGTTCTGCTTGGAAAAAGAGACTGATGGGGCCATGGGCAGCACGTGAACTGCTGGCTTGGGGAGGCTAGCCCCCAGCCGTGCCCCTTCTGCCCAAGGCCCTGCACCTTCTGCCCCCCCACCCCCAGACCCATGGTGAGCCCCCCAACCCCAAAGAAATGCCAGGAGGGCGAGCGGCATGTAGCCCCAGCCCTGGAGCGCGGGAGGGTGAGAAGGCAGGCGGCGCGTGGCCCCAACCTCCCCAGCTCCACCAGCGTGGGTAGGCGGGCGGCCCACAGCGGAATACTTGGGGACTGGAGCCACATGCAGGGAGCGTTACAGCAGGGAACGGGGTCATGACTGGGTATTTGCGGAGGCAAAGCCTCCCCAGCCTATGCGACCCGCTGCCCATGGATGGGGCATATAATACAGGTTTGTAAAATCATGGATGGTGTGGAGAAAGTGATGGGAAAGTGTTATTTACCCCTTCTCATAACAAATCAATCAGCAGTCAGCCAATGAAATTAAATAGGCACCAGGTTTAAAACAAACATAAGGAAATACTTCTTCAATCAAAGTACAGTCAACCTGTGGAACTTGTTGCCAAGGGATGCTGTGAAGGCCAAAAGTACAACTGGGTTAAAAAAAGAACTGGATAAATTCATGAAGGATAGGTCCATCAATGGCTATTAGCCAAGATGGTCAGGGATGTGACCCCATGATCTGGGTGTCCCTAAAGCTCTGACTGCTAAAAGCTGGGGCTGGACGACAGGGGATGGATCACTCGATATATTGCCCTATTCTCTTCCTGCCTCTGAAGCATCTGGCACTGGCCACTGTTGGAAGACAGGATACAGGGCTGGATGGACCATTGGTCTGACCCTAGTATGCTCTTATGCTAATTTACTTTGTGACCTAAGGTAAATCATTTAGGGCTGATTTTTATGTTGTAGCCTTGACTAAGCGGTGGTGCCTAAACTGCACTAATCCAGATGTAACTCCAGAAGGCACTGTGAGTCAGAGACAGGCCAAT